CGTGCACCGCTCCGGGGCCCAGGCCTGGCCGGGTCAGGCTCGGTGCACGTGGCCAGTCGTAGGTCGGGTATGTCCTCCTACAGTCGGGGAGACGTAAGACCCGGGTACGGGGGACTTGGAAATCCCCGACGAGGTCGTCAAAAAAATGACGAGGCCGAGCCTGCATTTTGACGAGGCCTCCCGCTGCAGACATCCCACAAAACTCCTCCTCGTCAAAATCCGAGTCGCGGTCGTCAAAAAACGATGGCGAACCCGAGTCCTGGCAAACCCGGGTCTTACGCTCCCCCGATACAGGCGGGTTTGGGATGCAAAGGTCTTCCTGGTTTTGGAGAAACAAGCACCAGAATCTTGGTTTTAGGTCGGGCACGTCCTCCTACAGGCGGGTTTTGCATGCAAAGTTCATCCTGGTTTAAGAAAAACACAAGTAAATAGGCACAATAGTAGAACAATCGTCCCCTGACTGTTTTGTTGACTATCGTTGCGTGTTCCTCCTGTGCAGTCGAACATGTGATTAAGAAATTGATCAATCAGGAGAGCTGGGCCAGCTTTTCAAAAGTTTCGTAAGGAAACGCTGGGCCAGCTTTCGGAGCCAGAAACGTGCACTATTCATTTCCAGGACCTAAGGCTACCAATCCCCTGCAGAAGCTGGGCCGGCGTTCCGGCGAGTTGGTCATGAAACGCTGGACCAGCTTTTCGGGGGGAGGTTTCTTAATCAAGCGCTCGACCGTAGAGTTGTGGATGCCACGACAATGGACACCCAAACAGTCCAATCATTGAGTTTCGAATGTGTTAAACAAGTCGGAAGCATGTTCTGAACATGTTTTAAACATTCTGTTCTACCTGTTTAAAACATGTTTTTAACACATGCTTGGACATCTTAAAATTATTCGGCAACACGTTCCCTCTTCATCGATCGTCCTCCACAACCGTACAGGGACAGACCCGACTCAAGGCCAGTCTTGTCTTCCCCGCGTCCGGGCACCGAGGGCTCCGCGGCGCCGCGGGCGCCCTCCAGGAGGGCCGTACCTCCTGCCGCCGGCGCGCGCGCCAGCGGGGGGCGGCGGGACGGGGCGGGCCTTCCCTCGGGGATGGACAGAACCCCCTTTAGTGAGGCGTGGTTTGGTGAAGACGACGTCAGGCCCTAACCTGGAGGGCGCAGGCCTGGAAGACGACGGCCGCGGCGCCCTCTCGAGAACCGAAGACGGACAATCCACGAGTCGACGTGTCAGGGTGGGGGCCCTGCCCACACCCCCAACTCCCGGCGCCACAGACGGCCGACAGTCCAAGAGAACATCGCTCGAGGCCCTCCGTCGGCCCGAGCACGCGGAACATCCAAGGGTATAGTATTCGGCCTGACCTGAGGAACGAGAAATGAGGAACGAAGCGCCTTTTTTTCCAGGTAAGTCTAGGAAGTCCGAAGGAGCACCAGGGGGCTCGCCGTTACAACGGTAGAGGAACGACCGAACCCCTTTAAACAAATAAGTGCTCCTTATTCAAGCCGGACCCTGTACCCTCCCCAGGGTGCACAAGAACATCTAACCAACACGAGGAACATCAGGGCCTCCTCCCCGGACCGACCTCGATCTGATACCTCGGTCTGGCTCCATCATCGGGGATCTTCTGACCCAGGTCAACCCAGACCCAGATGGGTCAGGCCTTGCAGAAGCCTGCAAACTCCTGAAAGATCCGGCACCCAATCCGGGATCAACGCGAAGGATCCTGCAAGATCCTGCAAGGTCCTGCGCCCAAGCCCGGGTCAATGCGACCCTGGCCCTTCAAGATCGGGCGCTCTGGCTGACCCCCGTTTGCATTGACCCCCGTCTCAAGCCTCCCACCATCAGGAGCTCTCGGGCCTTCTGGGAGGCCCCCCCCGGTGGCTTCCCAGACATGCGACGTCCTGATATTTTCAGGACGGCGTCCCCAAAAGCCCGGACCCTTTCCCCAGTACCGGCTTTTCATCCTGAGTCGTGTTTTGACGCTCCCGAGGCCTGGCGAGGGCCCCCAGGGCCCGAACAATAGTGAAAAACCGCCCGTCCTGATTTTTCACGACGCGATCATGTCTGGGTTCGGAGGAGGCAGCACAAAACAGAGCTTCTCGGAAGGCCGGAGGGGCAGCCCGAGCCTTCCTCGGAAGGGCGCGCCCCCTCGCCCGTTCCTCTCCTGGGCGCGCGGGCGATCCTCGGTGCCACGACTCGCTCCTCTGCAGGGCCTCCTCCAGGAGGGCCGAGATCTCGGCCAGGCAGGGCTGGAAGGTATCCTCCTTTTGTTGTCGCTGCTGCTGTTGTTGTTGTTGCTGCTGCTGCTGTTGTTGTTGTTGTTGTTGTTGTTGTTGGTGTTGTTGTTGTTGTTTCCACTGTACTTGTAGATCGCATGCCCGAGAGAAGTTCGAGCACCCCCCGAAAGCTACCGAAACGGTGTATGCCCGACGCGCTGGGGGCCTGTCTTTCAGGGCCCGACGCGTGAGAGCCCTCCAGTTTCGATGCTCTCTTGGTGCGCGAAATTACTTCAGGTGGTCAAGGCTAAAACAAGTTGGAGCGTCATAATTATCCTTCAGCTTCTGCAGGCAATCGGACTGGAACTTCACCAGGTCGTTCAGTCGCGACTCCAAGGTGTCCTCCTGTTCGAGCACCTTTTCCTCTATCTTCGTCAGCTTCTGCTTGATGAACTGAATGACCGTCTTTGAATCTGTGTTCTTCATCCTGTACATCCACTCCACGAACTCAGTCGTGCTGATATCGCCAGACCCATCGTGGTCGAGCATGACGAACATTTCCTCCAGATCACGGGTATCGATGTCGAGCACGCGGAGCAAATGGCTGAACTGCTGGTGCCTCCTGGCCCCCTCTTTCAACTCCTCGAAATCCAGAGAGCCGTTGCCATCTGTGTCGATTTTGTTGAAGATGTTGCTCAACACCTTCTTCTCCTGCTGTTAGGTCGGGCGTGTCCCCCTACAGGGAGATTTTGGACGAACAATGAGAAATACAAAAAAAACTCCCAACATGCCCCAAAATAGTCAAACAATAGTCCCCTGACTAATTCCCAACCCTCCTGCGTTGGGTTCTCGTTTTAGATAAAGCACTGCTCGCGCGTCTCCTTTCCACCGCGTCTCCTTCCCACCGTCTCCTTCCCACCCCCTCCCGTCCCTCTCTTCCCCCCTGCATTTGACCTCGCCATCCTGCCTTTGGGGGGCTGCGATCTGTGAAACTGTCGCCACTTTCCAGGCCTGCTGGGGGGCCCAGCACAGTGGGTACACACGGCAGATTCAAATTAGACCTCGCCATCCCTGGGGGGCTGCGATCTGTGAAACTGTCGCCAGTTTCGAGGCCTGCTGGGGGCCCAGCACAGTGGGTACACACCGCAGATTCTAATTCGACCTCGCCATCCTGCCTTTGGGGGGCTGCGATCTGTGAAAGTGTCGCCACTTTCGAAGCCTGCTGGGGGGCCCAACACAGTGGGTACACACCGCAGATTCAAATTAGACCTCGCCATCCCTGGGGGGCTGCGATCTGTGAAACTGTCGCCACTCTCGAGGCCTGTCGGGGGGCCCAACACAGTGGGTACACACCGCAGATTCAAATTACACCTCGCCGTTCCTGGCGGGCTGTGATCTGTGAAACCGTCGCCACTTTCGAGGCCTGCTGGGGGGCCCAGCACAGTGGGTACACACACTGCAGATTCAAACTAGACCTCGCCATCCCTGGGGGGCTGCGATCTGTGAAACTGTCGCAACTTTCGAGGGCTGCTGAAGGGCCCAACACAGTGGGTACACACCGCAGACTCAAATTAGACCTCGCCATCCCTGGGAGGCTGCGATCTGTGAAGCTGTCGCCACTTTCGAGGCCTGTCGGGGGGCTCAACACAGTGGGTACACACCGCACATTCAAATTAAACCTCGCCATCCTTGGGGGGCTGCGATCTGTGAAACTGTCGCCAATTTCGAGGCCTGCTGGGGGGCCCAGCACAGTGGGTACACACGGCAGATTCAAATTAGACCTCGCCATCCCTGGGGGGCTGCGATCAGTGAAACTGTCGCCACTTTCGAAGCCTGCTGGGGGCCCAGCACAATGGGTACACACGGCAGATTCAAAGTAGATCTCGCCATCCCTGGGGGGCTGCGATCAGTGAAACTGTCGCCACTTTCGAGGCCTGCTGGGGGGCCCAGCACAATGGGTACACACCGCAGATTCAAATTAGATCTCGCCATCCCTGGGGGGGCTGCGATCTGGGAAACTGTCGCCACTTTCGAAGCCTGCTGGGGGGCCCAGCACAGTGGGTACCCACCGCAGATTCAAATTAGACCTCGCCATCCCTGGGGGGCTGCGATCTCGTGAAACGTCGCACTTACGAGGGTGCTGAGGCCCAACTCAAATGGGGTACCACGCAGACTCAAATTAGACCTCGCCATCCATGGGGGGCCGCGATCCGTGAAACTGTCGCGACTTTCGAAGCCTTCTGAGGGGCCCAGCACAGTGGGTACCCACCGCAGACTCAAATTAGACCTCGCCGTCCCTGGGGGGCTGCGATATGTGAAACGGTTGCCACTTTCGAGGCCTGCTGGGGGGGGGCCAGCACAGTGGGTACCCACCGCAGATTCAAATTAGACCTCGCCATCCCTGGGGGGCTGCGATCTGTGAAACTGTCGCAACTTTCGAAGCCTGCTGGGGGGCCCTGCACAGTGGGTGTATTCGAGGGTTGCTGAGGGGCCCAGCACAGTGGGTACCCACCGCAGACTCAAATTAGACCTCGCCATCCCTGGGGGGCTGCGATCTGTGAAACTGTCGCCACTTTCGAGGGCTGCTGAGGGGCACAGCACAGTGGGTACCCACCGCAGACTCAAATTAGACGCCGCTTTCGTCCTTGTTCTCCTCCTGCAGTCACCTTCACTCTGCTGTTGCCGTGCTGATGTTTCGGCTTCCCGCACGTTTTTCTTCTGCTCTGCGTTCCCGACTCCCCATGTCCTCTTCGAGCCTGTAGCTGTCGCCCCTCGTTCTTGTATGATTCTCCTGCGCATCATGCCATAGGCGCGTGCCCGAAGTACCTTACACATCAAGTCGATTGTCCATGCAAGTTTCGGCCAACTTCTCGTTTCCATTGATACAAATGGGTTGGGTACGTCACAGGGTATTTTTTGACTATTTTTGAATCCTCCCCCTGTAGAGGGACAGGCCCAACTTAATCCTGCTGCTCGTCCCACTCCATCTCGCGGGCCCTCGTGAACACGTCCTTGGCGCGCGCTTCCGCGAAGGCGTCAACGACCACGGCCACGATCACGTTGAGGACACCGAACACGAGGGTCAGCAAGGCCCCAGTGAAGATGAAGAGGGACCACGGGTGGGCCTCGATGACTGGGATCGCCATCAAGCCCCAGCTGTCGCCTGCCTAGAAAAAACAACTGCGTAATCAGAAACGTTTGCGCTCACCGCGGGTTTCTTGGATCCGCGCTGTGTCCCCCTCCCTGGCGCGCGGAGCGCGCCAGGGGCGGCGTCGGAGCGGCGCCGGGAAGGCCCTGCGCGGATCGAAGAAATCCGCGCGGAGTTACAAAAGTTGATGTTTATGCGTTTTTTCTTCTTCGACTGCCACAATCGTCTGAAAGAAGGTGATGTTGGCGTGGAACACCGTGGAGAAAGCCCGGCTGCACCTCTCGCAATCGGACCACTGGCCCCGCGACGACAGCTCGAGGACCTTAGGGTGGACGAGCTCCACCGCCACGATCGACCACATCGTCATGACCACCCCGAGTACCAAGAATGACCAGAACAGGGTCTTCATGCAACTGCTGATCATGTACATCAGCTTCCTCAGCTCGACAAAGAACGGCACGTGGTAGACCATCCGCATCAGCTTCGTCATCCTCGCCAGTCTGAGAAGCCTCACCTTCGACAGAAGACCCGAGTCGACACCCGAGTGAACGAGCACGTACTCGGCCACCCCAGTGCAGACAACGATGATCCGCCAGCCTGGCTGCGGCGCGCAGCTTAGACTGCCGAGGAGGTGCTGCTGGGGTTCCTTCATGCCAAGAAGCGCCTCCCCTCTCCGACATCAGCCCGCTGGGATCACCTTCCCCCCCTTGGGTCCCTGCTCAGGCCGTGCTTTGGGCGCTGGGCCAGGGCTGGACCTAAACGCTGTTTTGCTGGATTTCGGCTTTGTTTTGTTTTTTGTTTTTGGCAGGGAGGTACCGGAAACCAGGTAGGGCAAAACGAACAACAAGACGAAACCAAAACGAAAAACAACGTTTAGTTCCAGCCCTGCGCTGGGCTCTGCTTGGCTGCTCCATGGGCCCAGACTGGACGCCCCGAGTGGCCCGCGAACATCTCGGCGAGCCCCGACGTGCCGAAGATGGCTCCGAGGGCCCCGAGAGTGCTCCAAGGTGGCCCCAAGAGACCACCGGCAGGTTGCACGATTGCTCCGTGAAGAGCTTTCGAGAGGCAATCCCGTGCATTCGCTATATGCGTTTTCTCTTGATCTTTCGGCGTCAATTTGCTCCAAGATGGGCTCCTAAGGCCACAGAGAGAACCCCAAATACCCCCAAGAGGCCTCGACACGGCCCAAGGGGTGCCCAAACGTGCATCACTGCGGCCGAAGGAGTCCCCCAGCCGGCCTCCAAGACAACCCATGGCAGCTCCAAGATTGCCCCAACGAACTCCAGACGGGCCCCACGGCCTTCCAACCCGCCCATACCCTCCCAAGGGACTCCCCCGAGACGGTGTCTCAGGGTATACCCCTGAGAACGAACGACCACCGGTGCGGACAGCAGTCCGGGCCTACTGGAGACCAGGTGAACGAGGCCGTGGCCTCTGAAGTACTATTGTGTATGGAAGTGCGCGCATGCGAGACATAAAAGGTTCTGTGAACCGGAAGGGGAGGGGAGGAGGGGGAGGAATCCTTGTAGTCGATGTCGCGGTGTGTTGGTGCCGCGTCGTTGGGTGGAGTCTGTGTTGGTCGTCTGTGCTGGGCTTGGTGTTGATGCCGGCGCAAGGCGGCGGTAGTCGGTGGTGGCGGTGCTTGGTTGTGGGTGGTCGGTGCTTGTGGTCGCGTGGTCAGCCGTCAATTCTGAAGGGGCCCTGGGACACACAAATAAATACACACACATAAAATAATTCCCCATATTTTTCATATTTTTGGGGTTTTTGTCTTCCCCCCCACTTCCCATATTTTTGCATATTTTCCTGGGAGTCGACGATTAATTGTGTCTGTGTGTTTCTTTCCCTCCTGAAATTCTGCATGCTACTAAGAGGTCTCCCAGACGGCCCCGAGAAGGCCTCCGACAAGATCCTGGCGCGGCCCCACCTGTTCGGTCGGCCCCACGCGCGCCGAGGCTGTGCACCCCCGTACGCTCACCGATTGTACATAATGTGTGTGCACGTCGTTCATTTCTAATCGTGCTCATTTCGAAGTGTGCTCGTTTCTAATTGTTCCTGGCCCCCTAGTGGCCAGGAAGCGGCCCAGGATAGAACATTTAGAAATGAAAGGGTCCTGGCGCCCTAAAAAATGAAAGAACTTTGGAAAACTTAGAAAGGAACACTGTGTACTTGTTTTCGCCCTGGGGGCCTGCAATCACCCCGCTCTGCTGTCTCCAATGGAACCACGCGGCGGTTTCTGGAAACCCAGACTCCCGTCAAGCTTTGACATCTCGTGGAGGGCAATTGTTTTCTGAGGGGCAGCGATTGGGGGGGGCTGGCATAGGGGGGACGCATCGACCTGGAGTCGGCGATAAATCACCGATTGATCGGCGACAGGCCCCCGACAGCGAAACCGCACCCTCCTGGGCGGACTGGGGCTATCGGGCCCCTATCGGCGATCAATGGGCGATTGGGGGTCGATGACCCCCCCCCATGCCTATCCCCCATCGTTGCCCCCGATCTTTTTCCGCCGGCTTGTGCCGCCGAAGCCGCTTCGAGAATGGTGGTTCTTATGCTAGTTGCACCATAGGTACAGCTAGGTATAAGATACTTATAGCAAGGGATAAGTACCTAAGTATTTCTAACTATTTCTATGTGCCCTTAAGTATTTGTCTTGTCGCATAACTATACTTAGGTTAGTTATAAGTATTTCGCTGATTATTAATGACGCTGGAAGATACTTACAACTACCGCTAAGTTACTTACCCGTGCTGAGATGCAGTAGGTATAAGTAACATATATGTTACTTATAAGTAACTTATAACTTCCTTCCATCCCTCCTTCGCTTCTCTTCCCCTCCCGCCGCGCGCCCGCCCGCCGCGCCGCAGGGGCGTCGCGGCCCGCGGCCCCCACGCAGAGGAGGACGAGGAGGAGGGCGAGGAGGAGGACGAGGAGGAGGAGGAGGAGGGGGAGGAGGGATGAGGAGGAGGAGGTGGATGTAGTTTTCAGGAACGATTTTCGGATTTGGGGAAATCTTTTTTGGATTTGGTGAGGTTTTCTGGATTGGAGAGGTTATCTGGATTTGAAGAGGTTTTTCAGGATTTGGGATTTGCCCATCGACCTGGAGATCGTCGCGGCGCCGCCTGGTGGGTGCTCGCCGCGGTAGCGATGGCGATCGCTGGGGTGAGGAGGAGGGGGATGGGGAAGGTAGCGATGTCGATCGCTTGGATGGGGAGGAGGAGGAGAAGCGATGGCGATCGCTTGGGTGAGGAGGAGGGGGATGAGGAAGGTAGCGATGGCGATCGCTTGGAGGAGGAGGAGGAGGAGGAGGAGGAGGAGGAGGAGAAGCGATGGCGATCGCTGGGGGAGGTGAAGCGATGTCGATCGCTTGGAAGGAGGAGGATGAGGACGGGAAGGGGGAAGAGAAGCGATGGTGATCGCTTGGGGGAGGGCGGGGTGGGGGGAAGAGGACGAGGGGATAGCGATTACGATCGCTGGTCTTTTGTTTTCGCGCTTGCGGGCGCGCGGCGCGCTCCGCGCTTGCGGGCGCGCGGCCTCACCGCGGAGGCGGAGTCGACGGCGGCGGCATTTGCGCCTCCGCCGCCGCTGGCGCCGCTGGCGGCGCTGGCGGCGCCTTCGCCGCCGCTGGCGCTTTCGCCGCGGCGCGCGCCGCCTTGGCCTTCGCCGCCTTCGCCGCCGCCTTCGCCTTCGCCGCCGCCTCCTTCTCCTTCTTCTCCTTCTTCTCCTTCTTCTTCTTCTTCTTTTCCGCCTTCTCCGCCCTCAGCTGCGCATTTTCCGCCTGAAGGCGCGCCTGCTCCTCCCTCCGCAGCAGCTGCGCCCCCTGCGCCTCCTTCCTCAGCTGCGCGTTCTCCGCCTTCAGCTCCGCCTCCCGCCGCAGCGCCGCGTCCCTCTCGCCGATCGCGATCGCTAGCTCGCGCTCCGCCTCATTCGTCGTCGTCGTCGCCGCCGCCGTCGTCGTCGTCTCGTCGTCATCGTTTCCCGCCTCCCCCAGCCGCAGCGAGAGCTGCGCGGCGCGCTCTGTCTGCTCCGCGTTGACAGTCTGCAGAGGCGGGGGGAGGGGGAGAGGGGCGGTGGAGTGAAGGGAGGAAGGGGGTGGGGGGAGGGGCGAGGAGGGGGAGGAGGGGGAAGGATGAGGTGGAGGAGGAGGAGGAAGGGGAGGAAGCGGAGGAGGAGGATTCGGGGGAGAGCGATGGCGATCGCTGGGAGGAGGGGGCATCCGCCTCCGCGAGCTGCTGCAGCAGGTTGTCGCGCTGGCGCCTGAGCGCCAAAGCGCGAGCCCCCTGCGCGAGCTCGCGCGGAGCACCCCACATCGCGCCTCCGCGCCCCGCGCGCGCGAGCCCCGCGCGCCTCCACGAGGCAGAGCGGCTGCGCGCGGCGCTCAGTGACCTCCTTTATCATCATCCACCTTCCTTTCAGCGATCGACATCGCTTTCCTTCTCCTCATCTTTTTTCCTTCTCCTCATCGTCATCGCCGTCGCTTCACCTCCCCCAGAAGGAGGGGGAGGGGCGACGGGGGGAACAGCGATGGCGACCGCTTGGGGGAGGGGGGGAAGGGGGAGTAGGACGTGCACGGACCGAACCCTACGGGTTGCAAAAACAAGAGAGGAGGAGGAGGAGGTGGAGGAGGGATCATAGGAGGAGGGGGAGGGACGGGGCATGTAGCGATGGCGATCGCTTGTGTGAGGAGGAGGGGGATGGGGGTAGGTTGCGATGGCGATCGCTTGGAGGAGGAGGAGGAGGAGGAGGAGGAGAAGGAGAAGCGACAGCGATCGCTTGGGGGAGGGCGGGGAGGAGGAGGGAGAAGCAGAGAAGCGATACCGATCGCTAACTTAAGTAGGCGGCAATCGTTTTGAACGATCGCTGTGCATAGCCGCTGTCGGCTTTGCAGTCGCGCCGCGTGCGCGACGCGAGTGACGCCCGCGGGCGCCATGGCGGCCGACCTGGTGAAGCAGCTGAAGGCCGCCAAGTCGGTCCTCGCCCAGATCGGGAAGAAGTCCGACGCGTACAAGGAGATCGCGGAGGCGCAGAGCGCCATGGCGATGGCCATCATGGCGACGTGGACCTTCATCTCCGCCGAGGACTCGGCCATGCTGGTCCTGGAGATCGGCCAGATGCCTTTCGGCAAGAGGGCGCTTGCCACGCTGCTGCCGGCCGCTTGCCACGCTGCTCGGCCGCGCCACGACGTTGGCGACGGCCTCAGCGCAAATGTTGGCCGCTAACGCGGCCGCAAGCGCGGAGCTGGCGGGGTCGGGCAGGGCGCCGATGCAGGACTTCTCGTCCCTCCTCGCCTACCTCACGAAGAGGCAGTGGGACAAGATCCTGGACGAGCGCAACGACTTCATGGGTCGGGTTGCGGTCGTCCTGCAGGCTTGCAAATCCCTCGGGTGGCGCACGCTGCATGAGCCGACGGTTCAACTGGCGGCGTGCGTCGCCCTCCTCGTGGACGGCTTCGATTGGACGATGCGCATGTGTCCGATGGCACAGTGGGGCTATTTCAAGCGGGCGAAAACATACGCCAAGAAGCTCCTGCCGTGGAAGTTGTGTAAGCAGCTTGCCGCGACCGAGCCGTCCTTCGTCAGCGAGCTCCCTGCGGACCCGACTGACATGCCGAAGGTGCACCCCGAGTGGTACTCGCGCGCGTATGGTGGCGGA